CGAAGTCTCTGGACCCCATAGCGCAAGTTACAGTTACTTGAACTCACCACCTTTCAACTGTAAACACAATGATAATGGGTATAGTGAATTAAATGCAGTGATCAATGGTAGGCCAGAAGTGAAGAGCCGAAGTGCTAAAGGAAAAGAGCAAGAGCCACGAAGCCGGAGTTTTGACAAGCAATTGTGTCAAGTTGGATTTTGAATCAACTTAGTAGGCTGGAGAAGTCAATGGTTGTGATGATGATGATGATGATGAATGGTGGCCACGAGACAGAAGCGTGCCTGATGATGAGTTTGAAGACTTCACATCCCGTAAGGACGACAGTTTCCTAAGGCCAATTGTAGTCCACTGTGCAGTGTGTTATGCGCTGAGAAAATGGAACCTATCACAGGACCTCCATTTTATTCGACATGAAACACTTCCTGCCCTAAATACCAGCGTCCCTCTTATTACGTCTCACTCAACGACGTAATGCTACCCACTACTACGCCATAGCAAAAACACATATTTAAACCCCAGCTTTGCCGTTTAGCCCAACTTAATCAGGAAACATTCCACTACCCAACACTATTGCGACACCCAATCTGTGCATTGACAACGAATGAAGTATATTAACCGCAAACTACGCCAGTTGTTCGGCTTTTTCGTGTGCTCATCTGTGCATGGCGGCTGATTTAAGGTTCTACTCACCGTTGTGCGTGGGTTGGTGTTCGGGCTGAGGTGGGGTTCTGCCCCTTCTCACACTCAAAGTGTACGCGTACTCAGCCCAAATTAGCGCCTTCTTCTTCTACATGGTGGGGGCGCTTCAACACGCATTCCACCGAGTTCTACTCGTCACAGTGAACTTTTATTTGGCGTATGCTTGCGTCAGACGCATTGTAAACAGCGAAGACTGAAGGACAAACAAATCCGTTTATAAATAATGACACGTCGAGCACGCAAATGGTTTTGTATTTAGCCACCATCGCATCTGCATCGTCCGACGGAATGCGCTCCTTCTCAACTCCAATCTGCCTGTGTATTCTCCTTGTTGTCGCAATGGGGTGCACCATTTCGGTCGGGAATGCGGTCGAGGAGGGGAATGCCAACGTGCCTTATGAAGGTGAGATGTTGATAGACGGTCTCTTGACAGCTGAGTCGCAGCGTCGTTGGAGGGAGCCCAAAAATCAGCCCGAAATGCGCTTTCCTCGACCAATCTACTCCCCTCATGTTCCTCCTACACCACCCACTCCACCTCCCACTCAATCCTCCCCGAGCAACCTCAAGCCTAGGCGATGAAATTGTGTTGCGCAAGCATTAGCCTCGTGACAACAGGAGTCATAAGACCTGGTTACATGTCATTTCTGTTGTAAATAACTCTGACCATCATGCATGGGGAGGAGGGCAGTGCTGAGTCCTTCACACGCGACGCTTGACATAACAGTGAGTAGGGAGAGAAATTCCTCCATCAGAGCTTTTTAAGTGCACGACAGGTGGAAAGCAATCACTTGAATGAAGGCGAGTCACAACTTGTGGACTTGAGGCGAGGGCGACTGGTCCACCGAATC